AGAGAGAGAAGGAAGGAAGAAAGAAGGAAAGAAAGAAAGGAAGGAAGGAAGGAAGGAAGGAAGGAAGGAAGGAAGGAAGAAAGGAAGGAAGAAAGAAAGAAAAGTAATAGATTTTGACATTAAACTCTGTGCTGCCCCTTAGATGTCAGCAGGCAGGCAGGCAGCCCCCAAGGAGCCAGTTAGTGTCACATATATGAGTCACCACCTTCACCTATGAATCATTTCTCTTTACTGGGGTCTTACTGCAGCACATAATACCTCTTACCAGCCACTTTAGTCATTCTGTCTATCACAAAAATGACCAGTATAATGTGGTGGGGATCAGTGTAGCTGTATTTTCAACTGGTTAACCTAGTTCATTTTGTTTCAGATCTATCGCAACTTCAACTTTCAGAGAGGCAAGCCAGAGCTCCTAGAGAATATAGGGAGGAACAAATTGAGAAACTGGCTCGGGTGAGTGAGGCACAATCTCTGGTTACAAGTGATGCTCAGCAAGGGCCAAGTCCAAAGAAGGCGAAGCTTTTACACAAGACAGAGGAAGAAGATGTGAAGTCCCAGCAGGGCGTTCCCAACAACCAGACACCTGCAGGCAACCTTTCCACTGTGCCATCTAGTGCATTAGAAAAGAGCAGCATCCCTATAAGTGCCCCAGACAACTGTCCACCTCAGGAGACAAGTGGCTCACATGGAGAGAGCATGTCTGATAAAGATACAGTTTCTCCTTTGACTACTGTTAAAATGGAAGGGGCTGGGCATGTGCCCAGTAGTTCCTCTGGGTACCTCGGATATGGGTATGTGATGTCTGTATACAACATTTGCTATTCCATCCTGAAAGCTGCCCTCTCAGCCATATCCCTAAGTGTGTCTGCTGAGGAAGAAGAGGAGCAGGAGCAGAAAGAGGAAGAGGAGAAAGAGGGGGAAGAAGAGGAGGGGAAGGAACAGGAGGAGGCATACTCAGAAAACACGTGTATAATCTGTGTGCTGTTTAACAACAAAAAGATGTTCATAAACTCATGGGCCACAAAAGACTGAGAAAAAAAAATCACCATTTTTCTGGAAATGAACCAATTTTAGTTCTTGCTAAACAAAAACAGATTTTGTGGTGGTAAATAAACATCCTAAATGTGAGCCTGGAATTTATGTGCTATCTAACCATCTGCATTGTTCCTGTGTCGTTGTCTTCCATACCCTGCATGGGGTTTGACTACAGTAAAGATACGGGAAAGGACAAAGGGAGCCCAGACACTAAACTCTTATTAATACATTTATTTGTACAATACAGAAAACTGTAGGTCTAATGTGAACTTCAGCAAAAAGTCATTTCCTGGCAGTTTTCCTTTTCTATAAAGGCCAAGGTTCTTGAGGCTTTGCATCTCAATGACATAGCCACAGTAGATGGGAAGTCCTCACTGCTATCCCCATCATTGAGAGCAGAGGAATCTGAGTCTGGGAACAACATAGAGTGGGCTGTGGTCTACATGACAGCAATGGCTTCGAGTCACCATGATATTTAGAAGTTTATACTATGATGGACTAATGGCAGGGCCATTATTTACTTGTTTTCTTGACACTGTTCTCTAGAGCATTCACTGTTCCACCCCTTCCCTGGAGGGATCAGGTGCTCTGGGATATCTACCTGGAATATATCCTTCTCCCCTTTTCTAGGTATGGGCTCTAGTAACCATCTGGGGTTTGAAATTGGAGTCAGGTACTTCTGCTGTAGGTTGGTTAGCACAGCTTGAGTTTCCAGTTCTACAACCTCATCGGCAGCTAAGGTTTCTGGACACTGCAAAGTCTCTCCAATGTCAACAAGTCCTAGGCACAAAGACAAAAACATACAGATGTATTCTCTTCTATATAGCAAGGTTATCTTTATGACAGCAGGGTCAGTATAGTGTCAAATGATGGGGTATAACATATCACCAAAATGATAAGAAACAGGGATTTTTCTCACTGAATCGGGGGACATGACCAATTGAACTAGGGAATCTTGGGTGAGGCAGCCACAGGCCTTAAGAAAAAGGAGAGTGGCTTGTCCTCAGTGACTCTTGTTTTAAATGACAGTCAGGTTCTAGCATACTGCTAAGGCTGGTGTGTATCTACTGAAAGAGCACCATCCCCAGCCAGGAAGACTACAGTCAATAAGATTCCTAATTAGGTCACCAGGTAACTGTATTAGATGTTGATTGGTATCTTACCCAGGGTCCTTGTGACAGGCATTAGAAGCCATGCAGGTAGCCTTACTCTAGATAATACTCCACTTTTTTAGTGTTTATGCTGAACTAAGGTCATGCCTTTTGCACACATAGTCCAATGCTACAAACAGGTACTGACTTGACACAGGCTTTCAGATCACAACACAAACATGATCTGAAGCTCAGAGTCAAGAGGTAACTAAGTGCGTCTGTGGAACCAGGCTTATGTACACCAGCCTAGTTACTCCAGCAGCTCTTAAGAGAGACTACTTAGAAACTTTAGCCCACACCCTCTAGCTAAAAGCAAAACAAATCCTGTTTTGAATTGTTCTGGATCCTGTCTGAATGTCTACTTCATATTTAATACAGCTTCACTTACCAGCTATCACGCCTCTGCCATATTTTTCTCCTTCTTGTAGTAAGGTCTGAATCTGCGTCAAGGTCATTCCCAACCTCTCTACCAGCACCTCCTGCCAGGCATCATCTTCCCAGTCCCTGTGAGCAATGTGGATGGCGATGGTACATTTCTGATGGCTCCTCAATAGGGGACGCCAACGTGTCTCAAGAGTCTTGACTCCATTTAAGATTAAACCAGCATAGGGCTGCCGGAAGGAGAGGCAGGAAAACTTCATTTTCCTCAGAGTCTTTGAGCCTAAATACAGAAGCACATCACAGCTCAGCTCTTCAGGTTCATGTCCATTAGGCCTCACCTTCCCCAGATGTTTCTCATGTGCCCCAAAACTCCACTGAACTTGATGTGCTGCTTCCTGTTACAGGTTAATGGTGCTCTGCTCAATGTCAGGACCAATGCCAGTGGCTGGAATTAGGATGATGTATGGTCCATGTAGTGTTTGTGGAGCTCACAAAATAGGACAGAAACAGCTAGAGAAAGGTACCAGGAGAACAGTGTGGTCAGTGCTGACAGAGGTCACTGGGCCCTAGCAGAACACATAGGAGGGAAGGCCGTCTTGACCTAGTCAGGCTTCACATCTGAGTAGGCTGGCTTTAGCACAGAGGAACAGTCTTAGCTTTCCTACTTTTTTCTTCCTATGTCACTGTCACCAATACTCTTTGCTTCCTGGCCCTGTCATTATAGCTCATATAGGTGTAGAACTGCCCAGCTCCAATCTGAGCTAGTAAACACCAACCCTTGAAATGTAAACTTGATTTACTTTTGAAATTCCCTTTGATTTCAAATAGCCTCATCTGTGGCTCCTCCTGGGTCCTATGGGTGCCATGCTTCTCAAGTTATTTGTCATATCCTATGACCTAAGCCTAAGAAAGTGAATGATGACACTAAGCACTAGGGTACCAATACTCATATACTTTCTATGTTCTAGTTCCTAGGAGATAAGTATCTTTGGATAGTGAATTGCATCCTCAAATGACCCAGCACAGTCAGTATGCCTATTAGGATCCCTGTATAGATGATGGAAAAAAGATGCTGAGTGAGAAAGCAATGGCCTAGGATGGCAATGACATGATTTTGCACATCTCATATCCAGTTCCTTGCAGTCTTTGTGTGTCCCTTGTGAAAGAGACACTGTGCTTTAGGAAGTAAGGGGTCATGCTGATAGAGTCATGACCATGAAGTCAGAACCTCAGCTCAGTCTTAGCATATCATCCAGCTTCCATTTGCATGTTACTGTAAGTACAGCACATGAAGTGCCAAGAACACATCACCTGGGGACAAAGCCAAGGTATTGAGAGTCGCGGGTAGTGAAAGTCCATGAGAGTATACAGCAGAGACAACTAGCATTCAGAATGTCAACCTATCAGAACTAAGGGTTCTGTTAGAGGAAACCATCACACAAGGTGTTATGGAATTACTGCCTTTTGAATGAACTGGCTGTCTCTTGTTGTAAACTTCTTGTGCAATAACAGCTATGAGTCTCCCCATTTACCGTGCATCTCCATGTTATGTGTACATGTAATCTCACAATTGCATCTCAATCTTGGGCACAACTTTCTCTATACATTTGGGGTGATTGGAGAACTGTCCCCATCTGTGTTTATCTTTCATTAACATATATCTGGCCAGGGCCACTGTCCAAACAAAAGTATTTCAGCAAAGATACCTTTTTCCAAGGACAAATGCAGAGAAATAAAGATTAGCTCATCTCACCCACAGATAGAGAAAAGAACCACTAACAATTAATTCCTCAACCTCTTACCTTCATCCTGAGTTATTTACACAAGACCCTAACTTAAGAGATTTACTGCTCACATTCCTGGGATGAAGTTTTAGCCATTTGTTAGTTATTGATTTAAGGCAGTTACTTCCCACTGACCCAAGGAGACTGCCTCCAGGCCAGGCAGGCAATAGGTGCCAAGCTTCTTTCTTGTGCAAATTAAATTTTTATTCCTCCTCAGCCAGGTGCTATTCCTAGATTTTCTCCTCAGCAATTACTCTGAGCGAAAGTGCTTTCACTAACCAAATACTACATGCTCTGACAGAGGTTGCATAGCCACCTAGCATATGTCCCCCTCCCTATCAGAAAGCAGCTACTGCCGGGATGAGTGGGAAACATGGCACCAAAGACAGTTTACTTTCTTGTGACTTACCCCTAACATTTTACCTAGCCATTTCTATATTATAGTTTGAGCACATAAATTCCCTAATGATCTTAGCCTTTAGTTAACCCTACCAGAGAACTCCCCTTTAGTCACTCCCCATTTGGGATGTAATTGGAAGCTGATAATCAATTGCTTTATGTGTGGGTCCTTATTACCTCTCTCTCTGAAACCCTGAAAACTTCAAGCCTCACATTGCTTTACCAAAGAATTACTGTGTGGGTATATATACTAGTTCTCTGAGAGCATGGGGAAGAGACTTGATGGAGAAGAACAAAGATGAGGACGACTGAGATGGAAAGAACTAGGTAAGGATGAGAGAACAGCAGAAGGGACTGAGAGCAGGAGGTACTGAGAGCAGGAGGGACTGAGAGGAACTAAGTAAGAGAACAGAAAAGAAACTGTGCAGACAGAATTGCCATAGAAGAATAAAGTAAATGGACTAAAGAACTCAGTGTGCTTAGATTCATTGAATATCCTTCATATTAGAATCCTCAGCTGGTTGGTAGACTCTTCGGCGGACCCTGGGAGCAAACAATATAGGCTGGACTGAATATTGTTTGTGTTACCAAGGGTGACCATTTTCAGTATTGTGACAGAAGCAAAAACAGAGGCACTGAGCACAGGGCTCTATCTTGGCTCTGCTGTCCACCCATGAACTGCCCCCTCCATTCTGTTTTTGGCCTTCCTGATCCTTCTTTAAATACAAAGCCTTAGTCTCATGGGTCTCCTTCAGTTATAAGACATTGCCCTTCCAGGATAAAAGCAGTCTGCCATTCATGCCTTTCTCCAGTCACATTTCAGCTTGTCAAGGCTAGCAACACTCACAGTCCTACTTAGTTTTAAGTGTCAACTTGACACAACCTAGACTCACCTCAGAAGGGAGTCAATTGAGGGACTGTCTACATAAGATTAAGCAATGTGGACATCTGTTGGGGGAGTTTGTAATATTAATTATTGTAGGAGGATCCAGCCTACTGTGGGCAGTACCACACCAAGGAATGTGATACTGGGCTGTATATGAAAGCTAGCTAACCCTGAGTATAGGCAGGCAATCAAACAGCATTTCTTCTTGCTTTCTGCTCCTTGGCTGGGAGTGAGCTCCTTGGTCACAAGTAATGTTGTGTTGAATAGCATACAGGTCTGGCTTCAAGTTTCTCCTTGAATTCCTGCCCTGACTTCCCCCAGTGATAGGCTGTAACCTGTAAACTAACATTTTCTTTCCATATCAGATTGGCCTGTGGAAGGCTGCCTAGATTATTAATCCCTAGGCAGGTGATCCTGGGGTAAGCATAAGCCTATGAGCGAGCCAGAAAGCAGTGTTCTTCCTTCTAAGTTCCTGCCTTGACTTTCCTCAATGATGGATTGTGACCTGGAAATACAAGCCAAACAATGCTCCCTGCCCCCATAAGCTTTTTGTCAGTATTTTATCTCAGCCAACAGAAATCAAAATATAACATTTTCCTACATTGCTTTTGGTCATGGTGTTTGTCATACCAACAGAACGAAACTAGAACACTAACTAAGCCAGTTCTTTGTCACTGAGGACCAGCCTATCACACTCATTCTAGGTCCTAGAATCCAGGACCTCTGTTCTGCTGGTCTGCTTTTGCTCAGCATCACCGTCTCTCCATTCCATGAGGGGATGGTTCTGCCTCTGAGAACAGTGACTGCACACTTTTTAGTACACAATGAAAGTCCCTTCTGTGAGTAACTCATGCCTCCAGGCTTACTCTACCTTCTTTAAACAGTGCCCACAGCAGAAATATCAAATACTGGTCCACACACAAATCTCTACTTCCTCTGACCTCCCTACCATATGATCCCTTCCTTTTGTGTTCCATCCCGACACTTCTCTCAAACCTGGTCTTACAGGGAGAACAACTGGCCTATGACAACTCTGCCTTCACAACACTCAATACCATAGCATCCCTGGCTGCCCCTTTTTCAGGGTTCCATGATGCTCAATGGCCTGCTCTGGCTGCTATGACATGGTCCACACCTTCTTACTCAGGTGACTGAGCCAGGCTGTTGGACTTGGGAGTTCAACTTCTATGAACCCAAATCTACCAGTTTCTCCTTTGTAAGTGAGGTCACAGTCTGTCCTATTTTTATTGCCTAGATGTAGTAGCTCTTATGCTTGCCCTTTCCTCCTTCCACAGATTGGTACACAGTACTACTTATCTATGAATGCTTCCCTAAACATCATCTTCCATTATCTCCACAGCCACCATCCTATCAAGCCCCTACCATCCATTGCCTTTTCAAGCACCATTTTTCAGAGGCCCTGTGCTGTGAAACTTGCCTGCTGCCCTCTACTATCCACACTGCACTTAGAATGACATTGGTACTGGGGTCATCAGATCATCTCATTCTTTAGCTGAAATCTGCCAAGAGCTCCTGTCCCAACCAGTCCAAAACACACCCATTTCAGTAGGCCCCCTCAGGGTCCCTTGTAATCTGGCTGCCCACCCTAGACATGTGCTCTCTTCCCACTTCATTTACTAACCTGCAGCCAAACCAGCTGAGTGCCCTTCCTCAGGGTACTGCAGACAAGCCTGTTCTGTGGATGAAGAAGCGGCTCTCCTTGGCTTGTCTCTGCTTCTCCACTTGCACAAGCAGAAGGTAGATAAGGAAAACATCAAGTAAAAGATAGTTATGTTGGCTACTGTCAACAGGAAAGGCAAGTTTTAGAGATCAACAAGAATTACAGCTGGCCTTACAGAGAACACACACGTGCATCTCACTCAAAGCTTGGTTCAAGGTCCCTTTCTGACTAGGACAAGGACCACCTGATGTAGAAAGTTAATTCTGCAAGTGGTTCCCATTATTAAGCCAAGCATGCACGATCTAACAGGAGGAAAACAATGCCACACAGAATGTGTTTGCATGGAAATGTTCAGGTGTACTGAATCCCAGTGCTTTCAATGTTACCTGGTAGATGAAACCGGGCATAGTAACAAAAGCCACACACCGGCACCCCTCACAGTTTGGGGTCTCAGTTCATAGCCTAAACGTGAGGGACTGGTGCCTGTGGAGCAGCATACATGGTTTCCATGCGCCTGCATCCACACTTCGGAGAAACAGTGAGATGCTGGCAAGATGGGGCAGACAAAGATAAGCCTTGGGCTAGACTAGCTTTGAGATGGCCTTGCATGGGTTATGAGTTAGTTGCACAGTCGGGGAAGCCAGAGCCTGGGGCACTTTCAATTGCGATGGGGCTCACAGGCTCTCACTCATAGATTACCTGTCCTTTGCCTGCTGTGGGTCTCTTCAGCCTTACCGCTTAGTACTCAGCCAACTCCTGTTTACAGCACAGTCCTCTGCCTTTCAGCGTTCCAGGGAGGCCTCCAGTACCAGCGGCTCCTAAGCGTGGGTGGCTAACATTGGCTCTAAAGAAAGGAAAGCATTTGGCTAGTGCCGACCAGAGTTCTGGGACTTTAACTCTTTAAGTAGAGGAACAAACGTAGAGACGAATCCACGCCCTTACGCACACAATCTTGCGTAAGCACGCACACTAGGTCCCTTTACGTGCCTAAACATTCGCAGCCAATTAGAACTACAGGCACCATTCATGCTTCAGGGATAGGAAGATGCAGACTTACGTAACTGAGCGGTAAGCCACACTGGATGCTAGGAGACTTTGTGGGATTTACCGGGTTCTTAAAGCAATCTGGCAGATAAAGCTGGGTCAGGGTCGGTAGTAGGCTGCTGGGAAGAAAAAGAAGTGAGAAAAGGAATCGGGATTCTGTCAGATGGGCTGCAAAAACACAAGAAGGTAGCAGGGTGCCAGGCAGCGGGAGGTGCGGGGTGGGAACTTTAAGGGAAGAGGCTTGTTGAGGAGGGGCTTGGAATAGGTCCAGGAAAGAGCTGTGAGTCCTGAGGTTAGGCATTGGGGTGGGACTGGGCAGGGCGGGCTTGTGAGCACCCGGTCGGGGAGTCGGGAACGGGGGAGTTTGTGCACTGAAGAATCCCCCGGGAACAGATTGGAATTGCCAGTGCTTGTAATCTGGGCAGGGCTATGAACCGAGTTGGGCGGGGTGTGTTGTCCTGCATGGGTGGGGCTTTGGGGATATTAGGGTAGAACTTTGATTTCCAACTTAATTTGGCCCAGATCTGCTTAAGGTGAAAGGAAGGGCTGTGCATGCTGAAATGGCAGTGGTGGACCAGACTGTGAATGCTAAGTAAGGTGGGCAGGGCCTCAAAGTACCATCCAGGGCTGTGAGTGGTGAGATAGGTTGAGAGAGCTGAGCTTTGGATACTGTCATTTGTGATGGAGGGCTAAGGGAGGTGGAAGGAAGGCCTTGGCTTGCTGAATTAGGAGGGTGAGCGGAGCTGTATATGCTGAGGTAGAGGTTGGGGGCGGTTCAGTGATTGGTGACATATGAAGTAGGAAAATAGCTTTGGATAGTGATGTAATAAAGATCTAGAAACTCTGAAAGAAAAGAGAGGAACCGTTTGTGGTGATATAGGAATAGTATGAGGGGCACACATTCTGGGTTAGTAGTGGTGGGAGATACTGTGTGTGTTGATGTCCAGTGGGGCTGTGCATGCTGAGGTTGGAGTGGTGGGCAGTTCTGTGTGTGCAGGAATAGGAGTGGTGGGGTGGTGTTGCAAATGTTGCCCTAGGCATGTAGGGTCTACAGAATACCAGAAAGATGCTCTAGTTATTAACTTATGGAGGGGGAGGGAGACTTTGAATACTAATATACTATGGCAGAGGGCCACTGGAGGGAGAAGAGCAAAACTGTATGCTGAAGTAGGAGTGGTGGGTACAGCTGTGAGTGCTGATCTAGGGTGTGTCTCAACAGTAACAGGGATGATTATCAATGGTAAGACATGAAGTGAGGCTGGAGTTTTGGATATTGATACAATATGATGCAGGGCCACTGGAAGTCAAGGGCAGAACAGTGCATGCTGAGGTGAGAGTAATCGGTAAGGATATGAGTGCTGACCTAGGTGGGCAAGGCCTTGGGAGAACCAGGGCAGTGCTGTGAGTAAAGTATGAAGTAGAGCTTTGAATACTGTCGTAATATAGTTTGGACTGCTGCTGAAGGGCTGGGCTTTGAGTGCTGACCTCTGTGGGTGAGTCCATGGGAGCAGTGATGTAGGACATAGGGAGAGAGCATTGAATTCTAACCTAATATAGGGTGATGCTAATGGAGAAGCAGGGCTGATAGTGTTGAGAATAGCTAGGGCCAGAAATAAAGAGAAGCAGGGTGGGCCTGTGAGAGGAGGGGCTTCTGGGAGAGCAAGGTAAGGCTGTTAGTGGCAAAATACAGTGGGACAAGAAGTTCAGGGCAGACCTGTGGGTTACAAGGTAAGGCATTTGGAGTGGGGCTGCAGGAAGAGGAGCAGAGCAGGACTGTGAGAGCTAAGGTATGAATATGGGGGCAGTGACATGTGTTGCTAGATAGATGGGGGTGGGGCTATGGGAGGAGCCTGATAGGACAGGGACCTTTTAGGTACAGTCAATGAGGCTTGGGAGTGGCTAGGTGTAATTGCCCAGGATTTAGGAACTTTTGTCTCTCAGCTCTGGTAGCGTTTTGCAAGAGTCCCCAATGTTTCTTGTGTTACACTCATGGAACCCATTTAAGACTGTAGCTGTTCTCTCAGAGAGAGAAAGGGTTTCTGAGGTCTCCAAGGCAAAGGGGAAATAATCTATGCAGCACATCAGGACCTTAAAGACCAGTTGCCCAGATTCTCTTCTGTGTTGGCCTCTCCTACTAGACTTCTTCCTCCTTGGATGGCTGGTGGCTTCTTCCTGACAGCTGAGCACATGCTTGGAGCAGTTTCAAATCATGAGCCAGAGCATCTTGAATGTAAACTGCTCATCCCCCTGTACCCTGCTATGCATATATATATATATATATATATATATATATATATATATATATATATATATATATATATATATATATATATATATATATATATATCACTACACTTGCCCAAGTGTAGTGATATTTTATCTGTGTACCCCAATAAAGTTTATCTGAGGATCAGAGGAAAAAGCCAGCCACTATAGTAAACATAGAGGTCAGGCAATGGTAGCACATGCCTTTAATCCTATCACTTAGGAGGCAGAGATCCATCTGGATCTTTGTGAGTTCTAAGGCCACATGGGATAAGACCCAGGTGTGGTGGTACACACCTTTAATCTGATAATGCCCCAGCATACATCTCAAATAAAATGAGACAGGAATTTTTACATATTACAATATAAAGCATATTAGGTATACTATACAATCCTACAGGCCAAGCAGTCACAGAAAGATCTAATCAAATTTTAAAGGATATGCTAAATAGACACAACAGGTAACAATGACTCCTAGAAACAGAGTGCACAATGCTTTATTAACTGTGAATTTTCTCAATGCTAATGAGAAATGGACAACCGCAGCAGAGAGACATTGGACAACAGAAACTCCGGAGCTAAAGCAATGGATTTTCTTCAAAGAGTTGACCTCAGAATAGAAACCAGGAGACATCTAGAGCTAACCTATGGTTCTGGCTGTTCAGTGTTGCATCTGACCTTTTCTTTTGCTTTTGTTGCTGTGTAGAATAGGAATGGGAGGAGGAGGGGACTCCATCCAGAACAGGCCTTGCTTACATTGAGAGGGTGTCTAACAGGATCTCATATGATCTGGGTCTAAGGAGGATTTTCTTGCCCTCTCTCCTGATACCTGTGTTGCAGCATGTCCTCTGAGCACACTTTAGGAACCTAACATCCTGGTCTTTTCAAGCCTCATCTGTTTGGTTTACAGTAATGTACTTCCCTCAGCCTAGATAATTTCTTTTCCACTGTGGTTATGAAGGCCTTTCCAGCCAATTCAGTGTGGACCATTGTTTATTGCTTCCATATTCATGTACCCTGAGACACATGCCAGAGAATGAAGACTTATTTTTCAGTTGGTACCCCTCAAGTCCCTTATGTCATCTTATTCTGCAAAGCCCCTGCTTAGCACCCTTTATTCCCATCCCATGTTGATATCTTGCCCATATTGATGCAGGAACCTGCTTATACAAGTGTCACCTCTTTCCTCACTTGGCTATGTGCAGCTCTTTTCATATTGTACTAGACCTGCTTTCTGAGTATGGCTTGGGAGCAGCTTCTCTGACACTTCCTGATTTACCCAAAACAATCCTGGCTTTAGCATTGCAATTCTAGCACTCTACTTAGTGGGCAAACACCCACTAAAAGACAGGTAAGGTCAATTCATGTGAGAGAGGGGCTCAATGGGGAGAATAATTATGCAATATTTCTCTCCATTAAGTGGGTTGGATATGCTATGTCCTATAGGAAAGGGGGAAGGTTAATCAGACTCAAAAGTTTCAGCAATCCAAACCAGAGGAAATTAGGAAAAGGCCTGGTTTAACGGGTAAAGCATTCCCAGGTGATTCCCTGGGCCCACAGAGAGCAGACTGGGATGAGAGACCTGAAGAACCACATATCTGTTTTCTGGGATGCAGCTTATATACCCTGTGGGAGTGGTCTTGAGTCTCTCTGGGGGAGGAGCCATGTTTGGCGGGCTTTGAAGGGGCAGGTTTAGGGAAAGAGATGGTGGTGGTGGTGGTGGTGGGGCGGAGTTGAGGTGGATCTTCCACCAGAACATTCCAGACTCTTTGGGTATAGGGATGCCAGGGTGCCAGACGTTGAGATGGAGCTCCCACCCAAACACAAGGCCCAACCTGAGATGGCTTCTAGAGACTGAGAGAGGACCAAGGATGGAACAGACGCATGTGCGAAGCAAGGTGGTGGCAGAGGGGGCCAGAAAATCAGATGGGCTTCAATTCCTGCAGAAGTGTGGGCCAGACTAAAGTCCCTCCTTGGGTTTCACAGTGATCATTGGGTACAGGTGAACAGTCACTTGTTTTCCTGATGAGATTTTGAGGCTGAGCTTATTTGCCTCTGACAGAACTTTGTGTAGCTCTGATGCGCCCTGAGCATGACAGGAGAGCCACGGAGACTATAAGCTACAGCCCCACGAGGGTGTATAGCCAAGATACTTCTACTGGATTCACCTCCTGCTGCATCCAGAACATGCCAGAATAGCTGCTGCTGCTGATGCAAAGTCAGAAGGCATGGTACGGGTTTGCCCAAGCATCTACTGCGTGGCCTGAGCTGCCACTGTGTCCCGGGCAAGGCTGGATTTAATCAGATAGTTCCCTCACCCACTGCTTCTAAACAGGAGAAGCGGTGGTGCTGGATACAAGATGATAAGGAAGGGTGGCTTTGAATGTGTGCAAATGATGTTTGCAGAAAGCTATAGGAGAAAGGCCCTCTTGTTGGATGAACTGCCACTAGCTAGTGTTTTTCCATGGTCTTGAGCGGGACATTTCCCCATAGTGCCCTCTGCTGGCCTAGTCCTCCATCTTCACTGTGCATCAAAGATGGGGGTCGGCTATCAGAGCAGGGTAAGTGAGTACCTATGGCAGAAGTTCTGTCATGCTTAGGGAGCAGGAGATGGGGGTGCTTTGCCTTCTGAGTGGACAACTTGTGAGACATTTCTTCTCACTACCCTCAGGTTCTTCTCTCCCCCACCTTCCTTCTGGCCTCCATGTTTTCTGATGAGAAGCCCCCCTCTAATTGTTTTACGCATATAGATATAGGATCATTCCTCTTTTATAGCTTCAAAGATTGTTTTCCTTTCTTCTCAGAGCTTTGGTGTAGTTTTGCTGTAGATTTATTTGGGTTTAATCTGTTTCAGGCTTGCTCAGGTTCTATAATCTGTTTCAGGTTTG